TCACGCACTGCTAGGGAGGCGATGATCTTCTCTGTAATTCCAATTTTTTGCCACTTAAAAGAATTTTAAAGAATCATCACTGCTGCAAGAGGCTGGAATTTGAGGGTTACTTGCTGCACAGTTGTTCGTTAATTTGGCTGCTATCATGAACAAAAATCAAAAATTATTTTATTGTCCTGTATAAGATTTGCAAAGTAAGAAGACCTTGGACTAGAGAGAGCATGCTTATATGCAACAAGGCTCTCTTTCCAAGCACGATAGATTACGTGGAGTTTAGCTGAGTGCCATTTGCATTCTAGTTGACGGGACTGTCACATAAAAGACCTTGTCTGGTCAGTGTACCATGAGGCTGGTCTCTTCCTTCTGTGTAACCTTTTTACATTTCAATGGAGCAACTACATTGAGGGTTCTACAGAGATAAGATAAGATAGAGATAAGATAAGATACACTTTATTGAACCCCGTGGGGTAATTTGTCCTCTGCATTTGACCCATCCTATTGTAATAAGCAGTGGGCAGCCACAGAGCAGCCCCCGGGGACCAACTCCAGTTCTGAAGCCAGTACCTTGGTTAGGGGTACTGGTAGGAGCATTCCTATCATGCATGTTTTTGTGGAGAGCATTAGCAAACTTTTCTGCTACACCATCAGTGCACTGTGGGCTAACTGGACAAGCAAAATACATGAGAAATATTTCAATGAATTTTCTAGAAGTAGTGGCAGTAAAAGTACGACCTGTATACTGTACATTGTAGTTTCAGATAATACAGGTTGGGCCAGTTTTTATTGTGACCTTTGTTCAGCTGCATTTACCTTCCATTTCACTGTATATATCTTCCATTCATTTTGCTCAAGAAGCTTTTTGACATCCATGACTATAGTACTGGTATGACTGTATTTGCTGTTCATTTTCATTAGAAAGTGGTGTGTTTTGTATTCCAAAAGATGCTCTGTTTTAGTACTCTGATAAACTTTAATGCTGTGAATTTTTAAAATCAAGTTCAATTTTCTTTATTTTGAGGCATTTGCTTCTGAAAGTACTCAAGTCCGCAGACTGAGCCCAGAATCAAGATAGAGGCTAGAAGGTCTTTTAATATGTTTTACGACATCTTTTCTGATATTTCATTACATTTACATTAGCTTAATACATGTAAAATGATCCCTACAAGTTGTCAAATTCTTAAAATCTTGCTTCTCTAAAAAGATGTAAACGAACTTGCGCACCTCTGGAAATCAACCCTTCATATAGACAGAGACTTCTCCAAATATAGTGTGGTATCTGATGATTTTTTGTTAAGATGTAAGTGCATTGTCACCATCACATTCAGGTTTTTAATTAAAGAAAAAAATTGCACTGGAAGTCTACACTAAAATGTCTGGTCCAAAAAAGTCATTGTCAAAGTCAAGAAGTGGGGAACTACAGCCGTGGCCAAAAGTTTTGAGAATGACACAAGTATTGGTTTTCACACAGTTTGCTGCTTCAGTGTTTTTAGATCTTTTTGTCAGATGTTACTATGGTATACTGAAGTATAATCACAAGCATTTCATAAGTGTCAAAGGCTCTTATTGATAATTACATGAAGTTTATGCAAAGAGTCAATATTTGCAGTGTTGACCCTTCTTTTTCAAGACCTCTGCAATTCGCCCTGGCATGCTGTCAATTAACTTTTGGGCCACATCCTGACTGATGGCAGCCCATTCTTGCATAATCAATGCTTGGAGTTTGTCAGAATTTGTGGGTTTTTGTTTGTCCACCCGCCTCTTGAGGATTGACCACAAGTTCTCAATGGGATTAAGGTCTGGGGAGTTTCCTGGCCATGGACCCAAAATTTCAATCTTTTGTTCCCTGAGCCACTTAGTTATCACTTTTGCCTTATGGCAAGGTGCTCCATCATGCTGGAAAAGACATTGTTCTTCACCAAACTGTTCTTGGATGGTTGGGAGAAGTTGCTCTCGGAGGATGTTTTGGTAACATTCTTTATTCATGGCTGTGTTCTTAGGCAAAATTGAGAGTGAGCCCACTCCCTTGGCTGAGAAGCAACCCCACACATGAATGGTCTCAGGATCCCTTACTGTTGGCATGACACAGGACTGATGGTAGCGTTCACCTTTTCTTCTCCGGACAAGCTTTTTTCCGGATGCCCCAAACAAACGGAAAGGGGATTCATCAGAGAAAATGACTTTACCCCAGTCCTCAGCAGTCCAATCCCCTGTACCTTTTGCAGAATATCAGTCTGTCCCTGATGTTTTTCCTGGAGAGAAGTGGCTTCTTTGCTGCCCTTCTTGACACCAGGCCATCCTCCAAAAGTCTTCGCCTCACTTTGCGTGCAGATGCACTCACACCTGCCTGCTGCCATTCCTGAGCAAGCTCTGCACTGGTGGTGCCCCGATCCCGCAGTTGAATCAACTTTAGGAGACGGTCCTGGCGCTTGCTGGACTTTCTTGGGCGCCCTGAAGCCTTTTTCACAACAATTGAACCTCTCTCCTTGAAGTTCTTGATGATCCGATAAATGGTTGATTTAGGTGCAATCTTAGTAGCAGCAATATTCTTGCCTGTGAAGCCCTTTTTGTGCAAAGCAATGATGACTGCACGTGTTTCCTTGCAGGTAACCATGGTTAACAGAGGAAGAACAATGATTTCAAGCACCACCCTCCTTTTAAAGCTTCCAGTCTGTTATTCTAACTCAATCAGCATGACGGAGTGATCTCCAGCCTTGTCCTCGTCAACACTCACCTGTGTTAACGAGACAATCACTGACATGATGTCAGCTGGTCCTTTGGTGGCAGGGCTGAAATGCAGTGGAAATGGGTTTTTTGGGATTAAGTTCATTTTCATGGCAAAGAGGGACTTTGCAATTAATTGCAATTCATCTGATCACTCTTCATAACATTCTGGAGTATACGCAAATTGCCATCATAAAAACTGAGGCAGCAGACTTTATGAAAATTAATATTTTGTCATTCTCAAAACTTTTGGCCATGGCTGTAGATAGACGCAAAAAGCAGAAAACAGAAGAGGCCTTCTCATGGTCCAGACCAGAAATCAAGTGCAGAGACAGACTTGCAATACAACTGGTAATTTAGTGGCCGCCAAATGGTATTGACAGGGACGGTACCCTGGAGAGGGACCGTGATCAGGACTAGAAGGTTGTTCTTGGAAACAGGATTGAATTAAGATAACCTCAACTCGGTCCCAATCCTGGACCCTGATTGAGATTGGAAGCTTGTTCAAATTCATTAATGGCAATAAAAATTTCAAAGAGAATTTAGCTGCTGCTAAAATACTGGCTGCATATGACAAAGACAAATAAGTTTTACTCACACACATATGACTCGGATCTCAGTACAAATGCGATTGTGCAATCCAGCAACAAGCACATGCACTAGAGGGCTTAAATACCCATCACTCACAAATTAGGAAACAAGCGAGTAACGAGATTCAGCCAAGAGGGGAGACACGCACAAGTCTTGCACCAATTACAACACACATTCACTAAATAGACATGCAAGCTGCTGAATCGCGAAGAGACACAATATGGATTCACACAAGGGTTGCGACAGGCAAGTGAGTAAAAAAAGACTGGTGGGTTATAAGAGATTGAACATAAATAGGGATGCGGAAAAGAATGGGGAAAACAAGCAGGGAGAAAGTGATATGGTCACAGGGATATAGACACAGGGAAACAGGGAAAAGAATGAACATACACAATGAACAGCCAAAACAAAGGCGCAGGTACAGTGCTGAACAAATTTATTAGACCAACACCCAATGTAAGGTTTATGCCACAACTGCCCTAAATTAATAGTATTGGTAATTACAAAATAATAACCTCCGCCAACGAAGTTGGGGTGGAGGTTATGTTTTCGCCCCTGTTTGTTTGCCTGTCTGTCTGTCTGTCAGTCTGTCTGTTTGTGAACAACATAACTCAAAAAGTAATGCACAGATTCGTCTGAAATTTTGTGGGTGCATTGCTATTACATCAAGGATGGACCCTATTGATTTTCACCGCAATCAGTGAAACAATATGGCCGCCACAGCAGCCATCTTGAAATCGTATGACACGTGATAACTCAACTTTGCTCCCACTCATTAAGATTTGGATTGTGCTGTCTTGGCGGAGGTTTGCACTCTACAAGTGCCTCTAGTTTTTTATGTTTCCCTAATGGTCAATCCATCAGTATGCGCAAGATCTTTAACAGAAATGATAGTTTTAATGCTAATTATTGTTATTATCCATGAATTTTCAAATTTACTGTTTTACAAAAAAAGCAGAAAAAATAGTGAAGCACATTAAAATTTTTTGATTAAGATGCCAAACAACAGTTATTTCCTTGCATTCCTGGACATAAAAATGATGAGCCCTGTCATTTTAAACCGACACCACACTCAAAGAAAAGCAGGCATACACTTTGTTGTCTACAGAGATGAGCAAAGAAATTTCTTACCTTTGATATTTTGTAATAAAAAAACTGTTTGAGGGTAAATCCACGCTTGCTATTGTTAGCTCAATGTGTCCGTGTTATAACGAAACTGGATCTGCGAGTCTCAAAGCATGTTTTTCTTCTCGAGCATTGCTTCAAAGATCTCAGTTCCGCAGCATTCAGCTTGCTTGCAATGTATTTTCCTCTCTGTGATCGGCGTGTGATGCTGTCAGTAAGACTTTGCCATTAGCCATTTGATTCTATGGCTTCTGATGTTTCCAACGAGCCTAAAGCACCTTTATCGCACAAAGCTAGCCTGAGCTAGAGTTTGCGTTTCCAGTGCGTCAAACCGAGTCCATGGGCCATTCGAATGTACTTAAATAGCACGACAATATAGACGCTTAACAGGTGTGTTTGTGGTATTTTCGGTATAATTATTCGCTAAAATACTCAACTGTCATTTTCAAAGTCGTTTTCTGGCAGAAACGCGTGAATTCTGAGGGCACAACAGTACAAACAAGGTGGGTAACTTGTTTTCTTGACTCATTCTTTATATCGGCAATTTGACAGCATCCACCGCGTCAATTGATGTAATGTAGTGGTAAAGATGACGGCCTGCAACGCCGGTGACTAGGGTTCGATCCCCGATCAGGAGTGCTTTTAGGTAGCAACGGTAGCATTTTTCATGTATAAATAATAGATGGGGTTTTTGTTCTGTTAACTTTTTTCCATTTTTTAACCTTTCCATTGTATTCATAATTTTATTAATTTGCTTTTTTTTAAAAATAAATCTGCTCCAGTGGAGCCAAACTTCATTTTCTTTGTATTTAGTGTCTTTGAACGGGATGGTATAGGCTATAGGACTGGCAGAAATAATAATTTTAAAAATATTTCTAAATTCTAAAAATTAAAAACTGGTTGTATTTGGGTGGAATGTATGCCTGTAGTGACATATGTAATGTGGGGGAAAAAAAAAAAAAGCCACTAGATGGCAGTATTGACAATTTTTTTTGTTAAGCCCAGTCTGGAGCTAGGTTGGGCATGTCCTGGGCATGCCTCAGAGGGGGCTGGAAAAGAGTATATAAGGAGAAAAATTGAGAGAGTGAAAGGTAGTTGGAGAAATTACAAGGAGAAATTGTGGAAGGATACATTTGACCAGAACTGTCACTCTTTTCAAGACCTGTGAAGCTTTTTGTGGATTTTTGCCTGTGTTGGAGCATTTTCCTGTCCCAGGACATTGCAACATAGCAGCCCATCTCAATTACCAGGGGACTGTAAATATCTCATGTTTTTTTTTTTTTTCAATCTTGGTCAGTAGGGTAGAGTGTAGATTAGTTCTAAGTGTTTGTTTAATTAAATCTGTTGAAGTTGAAGAATTTTGTCTGTCATCCCTTGCTGTCCGTGACGCCATAACAAATTGGGGCCATAACACATATAAGTGAAATTAGATGATTTTTACAGTTTAATATCTGAGAATCTGATTTGGCACACAAGGTACCTGAATTGCCAATTTGGAGAAGTCACCTACACATTCCTCTCTAATTGTGTTCTGATTTACTTGATTAGAATAAACTTTGGCACAGATAATGGTGAGATTCTGTGCTGTAAATTTTTAGAGGTTTCAGGCTGCAACAAATTAAGTTTACAAGGGATAGAAGTAAAACTTTGTTTGGTGCAAAATGAGGTCTTTGATTTATACTGTGTTCCATCTTCATTTACTCTGACTCAGTGACATATATACTGATTTTTACACCATGGCAGAAATCCCAAATGGTTTTACCTTTATTATGATACCAAGATTATTCAAATTGACCAAATAGTTGCAGAGATATACTCATTTCATTTTGGGCTTGCCATTTTTGAAAAAGAGGCTCAGGGCTTAAGGGGTTAACAAAATGCAAGATGTGGGGAGGACTGAGGAAACACAGTGGAGGTGGGGCAAGAAGTGAGAGGATACAAAGAATGCTTAATGAAGTAATCAGACATGATAAACACAAAGGACCAGACGCACCGAGACAGGGAAACAAATGCACGTGGACTGAGAAAACATGGAAAAATATTATTTTGCATTAGTATTCTGTGTTAACTGTTTTAGCATGCAATGGGTTACTTTTTTTTCTGCTTGAGACATTTTATTCTGTTTAATGGAGAAGCATAAGGGCAGGGAATATGTCTTCTGATCAGAGGAAAATACTGAATGGTAGAAATCAAGTGTGTGTGTGTGTGTGTATGTTTGTATGTGTTGGTTCTTTGCAAAGAAGGAAAGCAAGCATCTGGGACATACACTGCAGAATGAATGCTCTGAATGTCTTGTGCCCCCCCCCCCCCGCAGCAGAAGTGTATTTATGCAAACCGGGGGAGTGCTTTGGTGAGAGAGTCTCTCTGAACTTCAAGTGATTCAGGTGACGCTCTCCATTTTTTGTTTTACAGCCGCAGTATTTAATTAGGTCTTAAAAGGATATACATAGTGTTTTTATCCTCTGTGAAAGTGTCCTTATTTTCCCCAATGCACAAAAAAAAAGGACCAAGGGGTCCTGTAGCTTGGCAAGCAGTCTTATCGTGATTGATAAAAATTATGAAAATATAATATGAAGTTTCACCTTCGAATCATTGAAGGTCAAAGTCAAGATCACTGAATAAAAGTTCACATACTTTTAAGACCTCCTGTAATACAATCCAAAGCTCTGGAACAGTTTTGGTGATACAAGTCATTGAAAATTCAATACGTAAATTGTGAATTTTAAAGGTTACAGAAAGTTAAGTTGAGGTCAGCAAATGGACTTCATTTATGAATTTCTAAATGTCTCTATACAAACCTTGGCTCAATCTGTGACCATTTTGGTGATACAAGTCATCGTAATTTCACTGTTGAGTTCGACCCTCAAAGGTCACTGACAGTCAAGTTGAATGTCACCAAATGAAAGTTCATATGTGACTTACTAGATGTCTGTAACAGAAACCTAGGCTCCATCTGCGACCGTTTTAGAAATACAAGTCATTGAATTTTTACTAAGTCACATTTGACCTTCAAAGGTCAATACGAAGGTCACCAAATGAAAATTCATATTTGACTTCCTATTTGTCTCCAATACAAACCTACGATCTATCTGTCACAAATTTTGCTGATATAAGTCTTTGAAATTTCACTGTAAAGTTTGGCTGTTGAAGGTTACTGAAGGTCAAGTTCAAGGTCACCAAATGAAACTTCGTACATGACTTCCTATATGCCCACAATACCAACCTAAGCTCTATCTGTAATAGTTTTGGTGATAGAAGTCAATGAAATTTCACTATGGAAGTTTGATCTTTGAAGGCCATTGAAGGTCAAGTTCAAGGCCACCACATGAAAGTTCATATATGACTTCCTATAAGTGTTCAATACACATATGTTGCCAATCTTCAATATTTTCAAGCGTAGAAGCCTTTGAAAATTGTGACATTTTGCTTGACCTCAAGTTTGACCTTTCAAGGTCATCAGAGGTCAACTTCAACACATCCAATATATAGGTCATATAGGACTTCCTGTATGTCGATAATACAAACCTAATCTCTATCTGCAACCATTTAGTTTCCACAGGCCATTTTGCCCATTCTCCATAAGACCCAATGTTTAAGTACAGCACCCAGACTAGACCCACTTCCGTCGATTTAATTAAAATGGCACTCACAATGTACATAAAGTGCATCAAGGTGAGTTGATTGCCTAATTTAGAGAAAAAGATATCAGACAGTTTTTGAGAAATTTTTTTTTTTGAAATTTCAAGTCCTGTCTTCTAACATTGTTAATATTTTTCTTGACCTCAAGTTTGACCTTTCAAAATCATCTGAGGTCAACTTTAAAACAGCCAAAATATAGGTCAAATACTGTATGACTTCCTATACGTCAATAATACAAACTTAATCTCTATCTACAACCAGTAGGCCTCCACAAGCCATCTTGCATATGGGCAATTCCATGAGAATGAGGACACAGGACAAGAAAATTCAAATTGATTTTACTGCATTTTTGATTTGTCAAAGGCAAAAATAGGATATCAGAGGCTCAAACTGATGCTGCTTTCTTGGTTTCGTTTATATGTTCCAAGTACCAAACATTTTTACATTCATGTTATTTTCAGCATATTGGAGGCACAAAATTTTCTATAATTGGGAGAGAGCCTTGTCCATTATTAATTGTGATATATCTCCAAACTCAACACATTTAGATAGTTCAAGGCTAGCCCTTTCTAGATATGAAGTCCATTTTCATTGATCCTTCATCATTTTGGGCATAATGGGCCACAAAATTTGCAACATTGAATGTAACGTGAGTTACCAGAAACAAGGTATTTTTAATCTTTAGCCCGCATCCCTGTGAGTAACATCTTCCTCTGCTGTGGGTGTAACCTTTTTGTAGGTACCTAAAAAACAAAGGGTGTCTGAGCACCACTGGCGCTATTATTTGGGTGTTATTAAAAGCTGACCTTACGGTAACATGAGTTATCATGACGTGAGTTACCCTCATGGACTTTCTTAAGTCTCAGACCATGGATAGTTATGTCAGTGTAATTTTATTACTTGCAATAGAACCTTCAGAGTGTTGGTTATCGATCATATGATTTTCAGTTTTGTAGCAGTTCTATCTTTTAAGAAATTTTGAATTGAAATTAAGTGATGTTTTTGTGTGTCCTTTTTGCATAACATGAGTTACTGAGCTGTTGGTGCCTCCAATTCCCACATTTCAAGGGACAGCACTTTTCTTTCCCATTGGTGTTTGTATATGGGTAACTACCTATGTACAGAAAAACACTTGTCAGAGGTGACTGACAATGACATGACAGCTGATTGAAAATTGATATTAGCCTTAAAATGTAACGTGAGTTACCATGGAATTGCCCATGTTCATAAAGTACAGTGCCCCCACTAGACCGACTTCCGTTGATTCAATCAAAATGGTGCTTGCACTGCACATTGACCGTACCCAGGTAAGTTGATTGCCTGACTTAGAAAAAAATTTATCACGCAGTTTTTGAGAAAATTTTTTTTTAATTTCTCAGTCCTATCTTTAACATTGGGGCCAAAATTTTAAGGGCCCATAAAATGGACAAAAATTATTCAACCAAAAATAAAACCATCTGGAGATATGGTCCAGTAGTATGATATGGCAAATATACACAAAAATTCATCAGGTCAAAAAAAAAGATAAAAAATGTTCCAGACGACAGATGCCACACCAGGACAATAGCTTATTGGCCCATAGGGCCGATAAGGCTAAAAACACGAAACAGACAGAATCCTGACAGTTACTCAGCAAGAACAACCATTCCTCTTAAGTTAAACAGGTAAATGCACTGTTTCCTTGCTGTTAAGAGGTTGTGGTTTCAAATATTGCCTGGGCCCTTTCACTGTTGAGTTTGCATATTCTCTCCTTGTTCACATGAGTTCCTTTATAGAACTCTGGTTTCCTCCCTCAGTCCCAATACGCATTTGGTAGGCTAACTGGAGATTCTATATTGCCCGTAAGTTTGTGCATGCAAATAAATGGTGCGTGATTCTTGCAATGCTTCTGCCTCTTGCCCACTGTAGGTGAAGATAGGCTCCAGCAATCCTCTGAAAGAAGCAGGTTAGACAATGGATCTATGGATGGATGAAAGTCTCATATCCAGCCAAGCAACA